AGAGCGTTCCTCAAGGTTCAATCTTGGTTCCACTGCTTTTCAATATATATATTAATGATTTATTTAACTATATACCAAAAGAGAATATACTGATGTATGCTGATGATCTAGTGATAACTTATTCTCATACGAACGTTATAATTCTTTAGGAGAATTTAAATCACATTTTGAAAACTTTAAATAGTTATATGGAAAACAATGGATTAAAATTAACAAAAATAAAACTAAATTCCTCTGTTTTGCAAATAGGAATAAAATAATCAATCCACATCACCTAAAAATTGAAATACAGTAACTGATTATAACATAGAAAAAGTAAATGCTATTAAGTTTTTGGGAGTAACTTTTAATGACAATCTGCGCTGGAATAAACATATAGATGATGTTGCACTTTCCCTGGCAAAGTATACTGAGATAAATAAGAAAATTCAAGCATTTTTAAGCACATCACTCTTGAAACGACTGTACCACACTTGCATTGAATCTAAAATAAGATATGGTATCGCTGCATGGGAAACCGCATCTCTATACGCTGTTAATAAACTTCAGATGGCACAAAATCATTACATGCGTTCAATTTATAATTTAAACTTTATGGAATCAGTATCTGAACTCTACTACACCGATAATATTGACAAGATTAGTGAAATGTACAAGAAACAGATTCTATTGGAGAGTTTCAAATATATAAAGGACAAAAAGGAAAACGGCTTCCTCGGAATTGGTATAGGAGAATGTCGCGGATCAACAAGAGATACTCGTATAATTCGTGAATATAGTCTCCCAATTGTTAAACTAGAAGTGGGGAGATCTGCACCGATCTTTCAATTAATCTTCTATTGGAATAGTCTGTGCAACGATTTACGTAACATAACAAGTTATGAAATCTTCAAAAAAAAAAAAAAATGTAAAAACAACGGAAAAAACTTAAGCCACAGTGATATTTGTTCTCAATTAATTTTTGGACTTGAGGTAGAATGCAATTTTCTTAATCAGCTCGCGTCCTGTTTTTGTTTTTTATTTTTTTTTTTGGTTTTGTTGATTTTGCTTTAAGATGCTTGTAAAAGGCCAACCTGGCCACAGTGTCTTTTTGAGAAATAAAAAAATAAAAATAAATAAATAAAATTATATATAAAACACTGCTTATAATTTGAAAAAAAAAGTTATTTGTTATTGAAAAATAAATTAAAAAATTACTAATTAACATTATTAGTGCAAAATTATTGTATACACAGGATATATTTATCAAAAATTGTCTAATAAAATTTGAAAAATTATTTTATTCAATCATAATTACAATCAATGCCAATCGTACATAAAATCTGGTTACTTTAAAAATAATTTCGGATAAAATTACACTTGGTACAAGCTATTTAATTAAAATCCACAAAGCATTAATTCAACCAAAGTAGGATTAAGCCATAATTACTTGGGGAGGATCATATTGCTACATATCAAAATAAATTAGGAAGTATTCGAAACTTATATATAAATTAATGATTAAATTCAAATATCTTCTAATCATTAATGAATTATATAAATATTTAATATTTTACCATTAGTTTGCCATTATTAAGTATTAAATAATTTTAGGTGGCGTTAATAAATGTTTGATTACTTTGAAATTATTTTAATATTAAAATTTGTATCAGTACATATTTTAAAAATTCAATTAAAAAAAATAGTAGTAGAAGTGCAAAAGATTGTAGGAGTAAGATTATATTTTAATTTTTCTTTCATTTATCTTATTGTTTTTTGTAATATAGTATCAAAACTTAAGGAAACAAACACATGTAGCACAATAAATCGAAACTGCTATCAGTAAAAAGTTCTGGAAATAATAACATACTGTATATACAACTTTGCAGGACGAATTGAATTACCATATCAATTGGAAGTGACAACTGAGGAAACATACAAATTACGAAGCAAAGGGTAAATAAGAGTTCCGTGAATCCGTGATTCGACTTGTTTTTGAGTATTGATTGTGGTAATATCAATCAAATTTTGATAAAATGACGTTGCATCATCGTTTAGATGACGCATTGTCATGGAGGACAATCAGAAGACTTGAGGCAGCGAGGTGTCCAGAAAAGTGGTGTACTGTACATGTTGGGAAACAGGAATCATTATCAGAAGAGCACAACAAGATCGACCAAGATCAACGACCTCTCATGAAGACGGTCAACTAATTTTATTATCCTGCGCCTTAGAGAGATGACAGCCAGACAGCTCTCTCGTGAGCTCGCTGCTTGCATTGAACATCGATATCGAGGCAAACTGTAAAGACGGATAGCAGTAAAGGACTTTATGCCAGAAGACTAGCGATGTGACCCCTCTCAGCCCTTTCCACAAGATGATCCCCCTCTTTCTTGGTGCTGTGACACAGAACTAGTATGCCCTTGTTATGTTCTCCGATGGGTCGAGATACAGTTAGCAAACTGATTATCGACTCGTTAACATCTAAAGAGAGTGAAACATTTTATCAACCCATAAATATCAGAGAAAACGACCGCTATGGTGGAGATGATGTCCTAGTGTGGAAAGACATCATATTGAATGGCCGCACGCCCCTGTACGTCTTCAAGGAAAGAACTTTAACCTCACAGTGCTCTAGAGATGAGATGTATGAGCTATATGTGAGGCTTTTTCGATGTGCCATCGGTCCCAGTTTATTTTTATGAACGACAACGCTAGGCCACACAGCTCAGATGATTACAGATTTCCTTGAAGAGGATATTCGCAGAATGACGTGATCTCTGGACCTAGACTCAATTGATCCTATCTGCGATCCTGCTCCGGAGAGGGTCATTGCACCATGACAGCTCCCTTCGGGATTCGCCTTGAGCTAAAATCCGCTCTTGTGGAGGACTAGGGTTTATTATTGATACAATGGACAGTAGGTAGCCATGATAGCCATGAGCCATTGTAGGTGTTATATAGATGTCAGGAGTGATCACATTCCCTATTAGCTTCTGTTTTGGGGGATCTAATACCTCATGTTTTAGGTATTCTTAGGTAATGTCATATCTCTAAAAATGAATTTTTTTTTATTTTATACGACTAATTCATGGTATAAAGTATCCATGTACAAAATTTCGCTCCGATTCACCAAATACTTTTCCAGATATCCTATCATTTGTGTTTATTGTCTTAATTTTGGACACCACTGTATTTAAGTACACTTATATAATTAAATTATGATTTATTAGCAATTTATTATGATAAAAGTATATACATAAATTATATTATTTTAGAAGGAATATATTTAAATCAAAAAAGGATATCTCGCCATGTAATCGATATTGATGATATATGTAAAACGTGATTTAAAAATGCACAGTAACTCATAACTATTTTTTTACTGCTAATTAAAATAACAAATAGTAGACTTTACAAATATTATTGAATAAATTTCTGTCAAAATATTTAATCTGTTATAGTTAAGCTTGATTTACATTTTATCATTTACAGTTCCGTTCTGCAGGATTTTAGGTTAATACCGTAACTTGTAAAAGTAAACAATATAATAATATAAAATAAATACAACGTAATTATAATTCTTGCATTAAATTAAAAAATGTTTTTCTAAGGTTAATTTAAAATAATTGTTAAAGTAAATGAAGTGTTAATTATCGCAATCAATAATAGGTTGAATGATTTTTAGTTTAATTTTTATAGTATAGTAGATTTGTTTTAATTTATAAAGATAAAAAAAGTAGTGCATTTTATTTTATTTTTATATGTATTTTTTCGCTTATTTTTTCTTTTGTTATATAGGTGAATGGTAATCTATCTCTCTGAGAGCTCTCTACGTATGAATTAAAACAAACTAATTAAATATAAATCAGTTTACGTCATATCCACTTTAGTGTCTTGAATAAACAAATCTGCAGGAGCAATCGTTAGATTGAATTGTATTAAATCAATACGGCACTTTAAATTAAACTAATATAAAGAATATGAATGTAAGATTCAGAAGTGAAAATTACAATTACTTTTTTATGAATATTTGCTTAAAAAATTAATTTTTCTTTGTAACTAGTATTCATTCTTCTAAAATATAGTTAAAATCTGTATTTATAAAAGTAACTAATGGAATAATGATTCGCCTAAGTGATTTTTATGAATTTTTTCAAACCTAAAATAATTGACGCGTTATTTTCATTATTAAACAGTTTTTGTATCAATATTTTTTGCAATAATTTAGCAGGAAGTAGAAAAATAAACGAGACAGTTTCTTCCAATTAAGTTAAATTATTCAGTTTATTCGAAACAACTTTTTCTTTATTAACGTAGCCGGATATACCCACATTGCAGTTATTCAATAAGAGAAGTCCATATATATATATTATACAGACGAAGTTGTTTGATTAAATAGTTTATAGTATCAACTTATTTCAAAATATACAAATAATAATAATTGTTGAATAACTGTATGACAAATTATTATTTTAAGAAATTTAGAAATGTAATTTTTAAAGCCCAAAATTTTGATTTTGTGTTTAAGACGAAAGACAGGCTATCTATTTTCTTAAGATGTGATGTGATTCAACCACCTGCCGTTCTGATGTGAGTTTTCCCTTTGGTATTTAATTCTAGACAGATGTTTTATATCTATGGGTCATAGAATGGCTGTTAGTAAGTCCCCAAACTACGTACAGTACTTGTACTGTATTGCACATTAAGATATTATAGTCGACTACTGCGAAAATATTTTTAATCATTAAAGCGTGTTATAAATAGAACATTTTAAATTATTTTAAAGTTTTAAATAAGATAACTTTTGTTATAAAACTTTTGATTAATTTCAACACGTTAAAGTCAATTATTAAATTGTAACGCAAACGAAATTTCAATTAATTCTTTTAAGATGACTTTTAACCTTTTCGTAATAACCTTTTCATGCTGATTATTAATTATTTATGTTTATATTTAATAGATGTTGATCGATATTAAACAAGAATCGTATGTCAACAAGATGAAAGATTGTCTGTGCTACACTCCGTACAGGTTAGGTAGGTTAGCTAAAAATAGTAACAGACATTTTGTATCTTGCCACATCTTGAAGAAATTGCGCAAAAACATTGATAACATAAAAAGAGATGCATGTTGCATGGAATCAGAGTGACAGATACATTCATATCTCTTAATTTTATGATTTTTCTATTGTTGAACGAATGAAGTAATATGAGTTAATATATAATAAGCCATCTCAGAATTTGACTAAACAATTGTGATAAGGTTGAGATAATAATAATTTAATTTAGTTTATTTTAATAATATAAGTGCAAATATATATTAACATTAAAGCCTGAGGTACGGTCACGATCCATATATAAATTATAGAATACAGGTATGCCTTTGAATGAAGATAATGCAATTTCTAACTATAAATTTTAATAGTCGAAATTGGAATTTAATTTAATCTATCAATTTTCCACCATCAATTAACTTGTGTAAATCCATTGGTCTGCAGTAAATTAAGAAATTCGAAATTTATAAATTAAATAGAAACGTAAACTTTTTAATTAAATTGAAATTTCGTTAACGAATAAAAAAAAAGAAAGAAATTATTTGTTGAATATTTTAAACGTCATTTTACTAAGTTCTTATTTATCAAATTAGAAAATTGACTGTTGCTGAAAACACATTCTATTTACAAGGATCCTATTGTATTATCTATCGTTCGATATTTGTTTAATTCTAGGATGTTTATTCATTGCCGACTAATATTTATCAAGGCAGTTACTACCTCTTTATTATTGTACTTTAATGCATATGAGAAAGAGTGGGATGTATAATGATGTGCTAATTAATACAGATATGTATTGCTTATTTTGCACTAGCATTATACAATAACACTGTATAATTTAAGTAGCTGAAATATAATTATTTAAAAAGAATTATTATAGGTATAATGCAAATCTAATATTATAATTTAATTATGAAAAAGCCAATCCTTGCAAAAAAAAAAAAATTATTGTTATCATTATTTTAAGCTTCAGATTTAGAAAATTCGCCGAAATGTAAACTTGAGATAATTTTGAAATGTTTTCTCAATAGTATAATTAAAATTATACTGTTGAGAAAATATTAACATTGTGCTAATAAGATTAAAATATATATAGTGATATAACCGTAATAATAATATAGCAGATAATTATACCATTCTTAATATATGCATACTAAACTTTTAATATTCATTTCAGTGGCCCCATATTAAGGTATCAAATCGTGCAACGCTTAATAAGGTGTTTGATTAGCAACTTAATGTAAATATTTACTTGAAAATCGTTAAATTGTTTAACGCGACATATTAGATAATAATAATAATGATGATCGAAATTTTAATTCCGAAATTATATCTTTATCGTTATAATTTGGAGAGATTCTGAAGTCCATAACGTATTCCGGTAGTTTAGATAATTGATTTTACACCATTTCTAAATTTATTAATCATATGCCTGACAGAACATGACAATGGAATAAATTAGTATTCATCAAAATAGCTTAATTGTTCTAATGTAATTGGATGAATTAGTAAATTAATATTTAGTAATATTAAAGATTCTTTTATAGAAATAATATATCTCATAGGGAGCTTGATAATTTCAATTTATGTTTCAATATTAAGTGCAAATTGCGGCCCTCTCCTCTTTAAAACAATAGCGTAACAGAGCATGGTTTATGTCTTTTAATTTTGTTTAATTCATCTTATACTAGGATTTGCAGAACATTGACCTTATTAACTATAAATTTTCCTATAATAACTTCTTGTTCAACAGGATATTAGTTGTAGTTACAAATCATTCGTGTATTTACTCGAAGGCTTTCGATACTTTGAAGAATAATTATAATTTTAAAGCATAATCTATTAAAATAAGATCGCTCAAGATAATTAATTGCCCTATTCTATCAAATGACATTAAAATTAATTAAATTTTATTTTATGAAACTCAAATGATTTAGAGAAGAGTTGTAATGGTTTTTTTATAGTTTGTATTCTGTATATAAGAATAAAAAATAATAATATAACTCTTCTTTTTTTTCTAATCTATTTTTTAATCTTATTTATTTGATTTAAGGACGATTCGTCGAATATATTGTAGAAAAAGCAAATTTTATAAAAATCACTTTCCTGAGAGAATATGTATTTAATGAGAATTTTGATGGATGTTGATAGAAACTGAAGGTGAGTCCATTGAAAATTTCTTAATTTTTTTTACCAAAAAAGAACTATTTTCTAAAGACTTCCCATTGATCGTCATTATCATTAAAAAAATAATAATAATACTTTTACTTAATAAAATTCTATTGTGAATTTTACATGCTTATGCATTCGATTAAGCTATATATATATATATATTCTATGAAACAGCTAATTTACTATAAAATTAAATTAAAATAATGATTAATAAAAATATACATTTTATAATTAAATAATATATTTATTCGATTTGTGTCGCCATCTATTGGAAACGTGTTTAATATAAAAAATTAACATATTTAATTAAGTATTTTTTAAATTTAATTAATTAATTAATTAAAATCTCTACCATATAATCTGATTAAATAATCGATAAGAGTCTTTTCTCTAGTTCGTATATGGTAGAATCAGAGTGCATTAATATGTAAAATTTATTTATTTAGTTTAATCTGTAAGAATTTGTGAAATTTGAAAGAAAAAAAAAATTAAATTTAACCCCCTTTTACATTCACTTGCATAAAATTAACAATGTCGAGAAGATTTGACATAAAAAATCCTAATTTCCACAACAATAAGTATAATTTAACCCAAGAATTTCATTCTCGTTCCAACAAAGAACTCCATTTTTCAATTCGCTTCGGGAAATGGAAAAAATATACCTTTATACTAACACCGCCTCATACACTTATATAAATCCTACCACGCACAAATTTGCGCAGAGATATAGGTTACATATACATAAACATACATACATTTATATGCAATAAAAAATATGATATATTACATATCTATCAACACACAGTGTTAAATTATGCATGCATAACTAACCTTACACATAATTATAACAGAATACATACGCTGTGTTTATATATTTGCAGGTGATGTACGGCTTGATTTTTTTTCTCAATTTGTAAGGAACACATTTTGTAATTTCTGTAATTTATCAAGTTTTTTTCCCATTCAGCAAACCGATGATAACCAATTGGAAGCGGTGTGGCAACACTGAAAGTTTGCTAGATCTGTCGCAAGAGAGAAACGATGGTGACACAAGCAGACGGCATCCAGACTAGATAGAGATACCATCAGATACAGTTCGTTCCTCTAACGATAGAATGAGGACGGAGAAACTGATACGGATCAACTGCGGATGCGTTGCAAGAGAATAAAGGAAAACATAAACAGGTAATAACTTCCACGTCTTACAGGTGGTTTTTTTGTATCACTCTATCTTTACCATACTCCAATATCCGCATGCATTCTTCAACAAGTGGTTTCTATCAAATAGCGACTTTAGTTTAGAAATAATTTATTTTACTCTTTTTTTTCTTATAAATGGAAATGTTTACAAATCTTCAGAATAATATCTTGCGCCCAGTCGACGCCAACTGGGTTACATTGATGTATTGTTCTTCTCATCGACCTGTTGGTATGATCAGCTTCTGAATACAGATCTTTCTTTATGGCTTACGAATCTCTTCAATTTATAAAGATTGAAAAAAATAATCTTACCGAAAAGTTTATAGATTTTAGAATATAGATTTTAATTCTTTATTAAACGTTATTTTATTATTAGTTTATCTTTCTCGATTAGTTGCTTATTAAAATTATAATTAACAATTATAATAATATGTAACACGGGTAATCATATTAATATCTAACACAGGTTATCGTAAACGTTAACATTTATCAATAACTTATAACAGAATCTTGACAACTGCTCGAAATCTTTGTAGGTAGCATTGACAGATGATATATCTCCAGAAGCGATTCTTCATCACCTGTGTTCAGGAAAGATTATTCTATTATATCTGCTTCTCCGATTCCTCTTGTAACCATTTCTAATAAGATAAAATTAAACATTTAATTGAATAACTACTGCAAAGTTTCGACTTAATATTAAATATCGAGTATGGTTTATATATATATATCGTTAAATTTCACTTAAATTTTAGAATATTTTTTCTCTTTGTTTCCTTTTTTTTTTTAAATTAACGATTGGCTAGTTTGGCCACCTGGAAAAATTCGATTCTAATAGAGTATCTTCAATGAGCACAACTCAGTTTGCAAACAAGATGGCTTCGTGAGGTGCAGTATAAACGAATACGTTCATCAAAGTAATTTTACGCCTCGGCGATTGAACCTTAAGACAAATAAAGCTAAGGATTACAAAAGGTAGTTAAGGTAGTATCTGTGTAATGAAGACTTGGTTGTTGACTGCCATCCTGCATATATTAAATTTCTTGTTATTTTTTTATTTTATTTTATTTTTTATTTTTTCTGTTTGTTGTTGTTTTCTCATTCTCTCTTAGTAAATTTAATTTATTATTTTTTAATATATTGCAATAAATTATAAGGTATTTTTTCTTCTAATTTCTGCATTTAAAAAAGCTCTCCTAGTACAAACAATATTAAAGAATTAATTAATTTAAAATGTAAATATTTATAGTTTATATATATATATATATAATGATTTGATAGATAATTAGCAATATTAATGCAATTATTTAATTTAGTTTCTGCCTGGTGACTTAATTAAGATTCTCAAAAAAATGGTTATAAATTAATATTCTTTTGTTTTGTTTGCTTTTCGCATTTTTAAACTTACAACAGCATTAATCTTAATTATACTATTCTGTGAATTTTAATCAGGGATAATGGAAAGAGCGTAAATTTTAATATAAAACGAAAAAAAATTGTTGGCAAAAGTTTAATTGTTTAAGTTCATATAGATAATAAACACGTTTATTCGGGGTTCATCAACAGACATATGATTATTAGTAAGATAGAATCAATAATCAGATGGAAACGTTTGCACTTGTGTCAACATCTCCTCCGAAAACCGGTAATTTAATAAGAAAGCAATCAATACTTCTTAACTTGTCCATCAAAATATACCATTCAACTCCACTTAAACAAATAGAAACTTAAAAGAGTTGGAAAGCTTCAAGTGTTTAATCATTATATTCTTAAATTGAAATATAAATAAAAATCGCTTCACTCTGATTAAAAATGCATTTGTGATCAGGTTAAGCAAGGATAAATCGATATTTCGAAAAGGTATAAATCGATCTACCTCTGAAATTTTTGTCTACCTTTCAGTTATATAATCAAATCTTTCATGTTACGGAGATATCGACAGCATGGAAATTGCAGCTTGACCGATAACAATAGACCCCCCTGTGGACAAGTATCGTTAGCTTTTGTTAATAAGAATCCGATCATTCATACAATAAATAACACAATGTTGCTTAATTTCGGATCGAATAATTTACGCTTATTATTTTAGTCATGCTTTGTTTGTCAAGGAAGGTATTGAATAGGTGTAAGGTTCATTTTATGGCAGAAGTAATTAATTCTATAGCTCCTGGTTGATTTTAAGCTTGGAGTAATCTTTCTGTAAATTTTAACACGTTTTCCACTGTAGAAATATCTAATATTTGTGTTGCAGAGTATTAAATTCGCTTTTCATTTTTCTCTTTCTCCTTGGAATTCATTGTAGAAAAATGTCAAATAGCACAAATTTAATTTCTAAAAATGTTGTCTTTGCAAAGAATTAAATTTACTACCCTAACAAAAATATAAGTTTTTACACTAATTAGTTTTATAAACCTAGCGAGTTCATTACAAGACATGAAAACAAAGTAGAATAAATATAAAATTTATTTTCTATTCATTCCAGAATTAGATTGTATTTTGTAATAGTAGTTCCATATGCATCGCTCTCAGTTTCTCTCATTATATATGTATTTGCATATGAATTTTTAGAATAATTATTTATTAATTCCTCCCTCACGTTGTTAAATAAATGTAATTTGCATATAAGCTAACGTTAACTAAATCTTAAGTAGTAATATTATGTACTTGCTAAAGTTTTAAAATAACTAAATATTTTTATTCTTTAATTACACACGTTTTAATATTTATGACAGCGATACTATATTCTCTTCTTTAAAATTTATTTTAAAAACTATACAGTTTTGAATATATGTATCTTATATAAAATCAAGTTTTATAATAATTCGTAACGATCTTTCTTTTGTAAAATATTAAATTTTAATTTAGTTTTATACACGTATGAGCAATAAGGCATTTTCTTATAAGAATTTGTTCTTATTGGAAAATTCGCTATGTCAAAGTAACTCTTTATGAATGAAATCTCCAATAAAAAATTTATAAAGTTGGATTTTTTCCCTCCAACTAATTTACATTTTTATCGCGTTCGACTTAAATTAAATGAAAACTAGTCATTTTCTTTTTGAAATTTCTGAGAAAATTATTTCACTTTTCCAAAGTAAAAATGAATATTTCTATTTTATTTTTCGAAAATTAAATCGAAAATTAAATTTTCAATATATTATTCATTATATTCTATAAAGTAATAAAGTAGTTCATATTAAGAAAAGTTTGAATTAAATTCTTTTTCTTTAAAAAAAAAAAAATTTATTTTAAATTATAAAGTTTTTGCTTTAATTTCTATCGTTTCTTATAATCAAATAATGATAAACATCTTAATATCTAATCAATTAATTTAAAGTCATTTTAATAAAATTTAATTAAAATTAATATTTTATGCATTGTAAATTAAATATATGTAATTATATATTTATAAATTTAAAACAATTTCCTATCTGATTAACGTTATCATCAGTTTTATGTAATTATGTAATAAATTATAAATTCACATGGCTCATATATATCTGTTAGATCAGTAGCGTATTCAAGTATCACATAAGGGAATACGGATGTAGGTCTGTACGTAAATTTTATAGGTAAATTAGAAATACTTATGCAATTTTTTATATATATTATATATAGTGTGTGTGTATGAAAATATATTTTAGAAAGCAGATTTTTCTATTTTTGACATAGTTAATGACTTAATTTTTTATTAGTGGAGTATATTCCTTCTCTGTCCCTCGAATATGTCTGTGTTTGTCAAGACCATAGGCTTATTATATTAGAATATACATTTTAGAAATGCTTTCAGTTCTCTAGTTTTCTTTATAAAAGTATAGTGGAAAGAAAATTGTCCATATTGTCTCCCCAAACCAGATTTTTAAGGAGAGAACTTTAAAATGATGTTATATCGAAAAAATATAAGCATTTCAATATTTCAAAAGTCTTTTATAAATAAGATAAAATGTTCCTTTACTAAAACTAACATCTTTTAAAAAATTCGCACTTTACAAAGCAGAAAAATATGTATAAATTTTAAAGAAGAATGCACTTTTTTCTTAAAAATCCTTTTTAATTTAATGTAATTTTGTTATTTATAATAAAGATAACAACAATTTAATTTTATATAAATATAAAAATGTGTACATTAAATTATTGTTTGTAGTTTCTTTTTTTTTAAATGAATAAAACAAATATATTAATATATATGTACAGTACATAGCCTATAGGAATATTTAATAATAATAAAAAAATAATAATAAGATTTATAAGATTACAAATTTTTTTATGTTGTTCGTCAATTTAGAATATAAATTACTTTTAAAGAAGATTATCTAATTTCTAAATTAAACAAAAAAAAATTGTATGCTACGTTTTTTTCTTCTTTTTTATTTTTAATTTTATGTTTGTAAAAATAATATTTATTTTTTTAACTTTTTAAAATAAACATTTACTCATTTTTTAGTATTATTATTTAGTTTATTTTTATTGATTTTTCACTTTATTAATTACATTTGTTTACAAACTTGAAATAAATGGATTTAAGTTTTATTCGGTAAAATTTTTAATTATAAAAAAGTCATAATTTTCGCTTCTTAAATTTTGTTATAACAAAATATTTAAATTGGGAATGTTTTTAAATATTTTTTAAAGTTATTTTTATTCTCAATTTTGTTTAATAATTTTAAATAAAGTCTGTTTTAATTAACTTTAAGGAATATTCTCTAAAATAGTGTTCCTTAAAGATTTTTTTACAGTGTTAATGTCGATAATGGTAAATAATATTTTTTAAATTCTTTACATATTTTTTTAAATCAATGTTCCTCAATTATTTTTTAAAGTTGTTTTAAGGAATATTCTAAAAAAATAATCCTTAAAATAACGTTTATGGTTCTATGAACAATAAACGTTATTTTAAGGATTATTTTTTTAGGTATATAAATCATTAAATTTATTCTAAAGAATTCTTATAGTAAAAAAAATGTATTCTTAAATTTGAATATAGATAAGATAAATAGAGCACTTTATCTACTTTTAGTAGCATTTTTTAAACATATTTTAGCCTCTAAAATTTATGAATATTTTTTTTATTCTTGACGTTTTATATAATGTATATACATATATAAAAAACACGAAGTTTATTCTAATTCAAATTTTCCTTCGTAATTAAAAACATCAATAAAAATCTTTTCATGTAGTCTATTGATATTTTTCTTTCCTTTTCTATGAAGTATACCTATTTGAAAAATCAAACGTAAAGATTAAATATTCTTTTAAGAATTAAACCTTTTATTTGCTTAATGCCTTTCTTCCATTGTAGAATGAAGACACGTGTATTTATTCATCTGCATTTGCTTTATAGATTAAATAAAGATCTCTTCTCTGAGTAGAATGACGTCAGAAAGAAGTGAAAGTATTGGATGTTCACTTTTCTTAAAAGATCCCTTCGGAATTCTACTTGCACTTAACTATTTTATTGAAAACAATTTAAAGTCACCTCCTTTACATAATCCTGTAAATTATAGATATATATTAATATTATATTACGTTAAAAGAACATATAAGCAATTAATATAGCCCATGTAAACAAATAAAACTCCTACAAAACATTTTATGATTTTAGTAAGTAGTTTTTGCTTCTGCTATTGATCTGTGGTAAAATGTCTATACTGTAGCTCAGTCATTAGCGGGGTTCTGATAGAGGGAAGAAAATAAAAAATCAATTATTTAATACATAAAAACGCATTCTGCTGAATCTTTTCACAAAATAATGGATTTATAAAAAATTAAATTTAATTTTCGATGCTTAAACAACATTAAAATTTAAACCAATCATATACCAACAATCTAACAATAATTTGTATTGATAGAACAAGTTAATAACTGTAGAATTAAATAAGCTAGTGGTCACATTAGCACTTCTACATTAGTTTCTTTGCTATTATTCTCCAGACACAATGGAAGAAAGGAAATTAAACGTTGATTGTAAGAAAAGCTTTTAATGTAAGTGAATGGAAGAAAGTTACTTCTAATTTTGTCTTGATAGATCATAAGAATAAACTAAAATCAGTATAGAATTTGGAATCATTCACTGTATTATTTAGTACTGCTAGTCACGTCAATAGTTAGACTACATATAAATTACACTGAAATTACTTGATTTTTAAATGATAACTTATCTTTATTGAATAATTTACTTGATTTTAGATTAGAAATTAACTGCTGTAAACATTCGGTATACAAATATACATATTATGCATANGAAGTTCGCATAAAACTTGTAAAATAGTCATTTTTCTTTAAAATTGCAATGTAAACTTATTTTAAAAACTATCACGTCATTTAAATTTTTTTTTTCATTTTGTAATATACTAAGAAATATTAAACCGTAGCATAAGTCAAAATCGAGATTGACTATACTTTTTTTTTACCATAAAATCAAATTTTCTCCATTCTCTTTGTAAATGTCTAAGCATAATTTATACACTACAAAATGAGCTTCATCCGAGCGCAAAACTTACTCGAGTCACTGCGAGCACACGATCAATCATAAAAGACAGAAAAATCCGATAGTAGAATAGGCATAAAGGGGAAAGAAAAAAAAGATTATACAAAAAGGTTTGAGGTGAAGATAGAAATCCAATCTGTCACGTAATACCTACTACCTATTGAATACTTCTTTCCCTTCAAATTATTCGATTTTTTTTACAAAATTTGATATTTGATGACGTTCAAATTATTTTTTGGTTTAATACATTTTTTAATACTTATTTTATCACACTGGATTTTATATATTTCGGAAATAAACCGAGCATATATTTTTTTAATTTTATGAACATTTTTTTTTATTCTGTTTTATAATTTTTTCCCATAACGACTGTAAATAAATTCGTTAAATTATATTATTTATCATATAATTACACTTCAAAATATGATTTAGATAGATTGCAGGAAATACATATTCAAAATTATGTTAAATGTCGTCGGAATAAATTAATACATTCGAAATCTAAATTGCTAAATTGTAGCTATAATTGTTTTGTAATTTTCAAAAATGTATCTATAATCATTTTTGAAATGTTTAAGTAATGTTATAATTTATCTAAAAAATAATCGAATTTTATAGGTATATTGTTTTTATTATTTTAATATTAATTATCCATTTATTTTGAAAAATTTCTAACTCGATGTACCATCAAACCATTCATATAAGATAACCAAATCGATAAACCGTTTATAATATAGATTGCTAGATTTAGTACCGTAAAAAGGTTAAACCGATTAAATTATTAATATATTTAAGTGCCAGCAAAGAAATTAATAATGAAGTAGAATGCTTTATATTTTATAAATTTATAGACTTAATCTTTAAGTTATATACTAGATTATCTTATTACGCTTATAAACTATTTCTGACCTCATTAACTGAAAGTTATCTGTTGAATAGGCAAGAAGGTATTAGGTGTTAAAGATAGAAACAATATAATTTCTACTGTATTTTCAAAAACAATTATTTTCTATAATTTATAGCAGCGTAAATAAATTCCAGAAAATTCTTTAAAAAAATAAAAAAACTAAAAGGTTAAGTTAAATAATAAATTACTGGAAACGATAGAATTTTGTTTTTCTTTCTTTAAAATACGGTTATAATATATCAGAAAAAAGAAACCAGAATCAAATATTTCTTCTAAAGGAGTTCACTTCTTTATTGCAGGAAATAATGAGCATCAATATACCCAGATTTGGCGGTAGCATTAATGCCAGTTTACCAGGAAATCAGTCTTCCAAGCCATCTTGTCATCCTGCTCAGACGACTGAAGCCGCAATTCTTTTCACTATATCTGTTTTCGGAATGGTAGCAAATTTATTTCTGATGTTGCTAATTATAATTAAACGGCCACTTAGACGGTGTGAGTACATTTAATCTCTTTAAATTTACAAAAATTGTCTTTAAATTCAAATTTATTCGGACATTCTTAATATAATTGATTTATGTTCGTCTAAAACGTGCATTTAAAGTAGTGAATGAATTTAATATATCTGGCAAACACACGTATATATATCTTTTGAAAATTATTTTTGATAAGTGCACTTCATAAATCAAATATTGTGAAAGTTGTTATTGATACCAAGCGAAAAATTTGTTTGAAACCTTTCAGAGGTGGCAGAAAATTATATATATATATACTGTATGTAAAAAAAAAACATATTTTTTTAGAATTTCGCATTAGAAAATCATGCTAACAATTTAAAGAATATATAAAATGATGCAGAATTTTAAACTAGAATATTAAATTGATTTAAAATTATTTAAAGGTGTGAATATATATTAAAATTAAATATTAAATTTTAGAAAATTGTTCAGCTTACGTGGAATTTGATATATGATATTTATATAATATTTTATTTTTAAAGTAAGTTGTTACAAAATTGATATAGGAAATAGTTTTATCATTTTATAAAATTGTTTTTTATTATTATTATTTAATCCGCTTTTATCGATATCGAATCTAGAAAATCTAAAATATTAACGCATTAATAATAAATTAAAGATTAGAAATGAAAATCTAAGTAAATTCTCTTGAAATACATTTGGATTTTACGTCATTAATTTCTCTACAGATATTTATTGAAGGATTCTCTACACTGCGCAAAAGTCTCGAGATACACCTACCTGTTTATGATAGCTAACAACCGACTAATGCTAGTCAAATAGGTAGAAAGATTGAATCTAGTAATAAGATTCAAGTTTAAAGAATTCCAAATCCTTAAAACTAAGAAGAAATTTATTCTATAATCTATTATTTTTGTTTCTCTTCTATTAATCTTAAAATAGGATGCATTTTTTAATTATGTAAGCACGTTAAAATGAATGATATAATGCTATACAAGTAATAATGAATCTTTAATATTATACGGTGTACAGCGCATTAATATTATTTTCATCTTAATATAATTACTTTATGTAGTATTATCGAAGCTGTTTTTATTTGACTGGAAAAATATTCTAGCAAATTTCCGTCATTTTAGATTAGAATGCATTTTCTTTTCCTTTTACATGGACAATTGACATGGAGAATAATTGAAAGTTTATTACGTTAAGCTTTTAAGCTGTAAAGTTGTTTATTCTGTTTATTCCTGAATGAATATAAACTGCTTACTCAATTTTCGATAGGTTTTAGGCATATTTTATAGCAAAAAAATTAAAAATTCTTTTGCTAAAATTCGGTAAATATTCATTTATTAAATATACTAAAGATATTTTATATTTATTTAAATTCTTCTTCGCAAGTATAACATTTAAACTAGTCTCAATATGTAATTTTAATGATGATATTATCTAAATTCTGAAGTTCGCATAAAACTTGTAAAATAGTCATTTTTCTTTAAAATTGCAATGTAAACTTATTTTAAAAACTATCACGTCATTTAAATTTTTTTTTTCATTTTGTAATATACTAAGAAATATTAAACCGTAGCATAAGTCAAAATCGAGATTGACTATACTTTTTTTTTACCATAAAATCAAATTTTCTCCATTCTCTTTGTAAATGTCTAAGCATAATTTATACACTACAAAATGAGCTTCATCCGAGCGCAAAACTTACTCGAGTCACTGCGAGCACACGATCAATCATAAAAGACAGAAAAATCCGATAGTAGAATAGGCATAAAGGGGAAAGAAAAAAAAGATTATACAAAAAGGTTTGAGGTGAAGATAGAAATCCAATCTGTCACGTAATACCTACTACCTATTGAATACTTCTTTCCCTTCAAATTATTCGATTTTTTTTACAAAATTTGATATTTGATGACGTTCAAATTATTTTTTGGTTTAATACATTTTTTAATACTTATTTTATCACACTGGATTTTATATATTTCGGAAATAAACCGAGCATATATTTTTTTAATTTTATGAACATTTTTTTTTATTCTGTTTTATAATTTTTTCCCATAACGACTGTAAATAAATTCGTTAAATTATATTATTTATCATATAATTACACTTCAAAATATGATTTAGATAGATTGCAGGAAATACATATTCAAAATTATGTTAAATGTCGTCGGAATAAATTAATACATTCGAAATCTAAATTGCTAAATTGTAGCTATAATTGTTTTGTAATTTTCAAAAATGTATCTATAATCATTTTTGAAATGTTTAAGTAATGTTATAATTTATCTAAAAAATAATCGAATTTTATAGGTATATTGTTTTTATTATTTTAATATTAATTATCCATTTATTTTGAAAAATTTCTAACTCGATGTAAGAAATTCTACTGTAATGTTGTATTGATTTGTTTTACACTTTTTCTTTGCAGTTGGTCACAAGGATTGCTTTTCCATCAAGGGCTTGTGGACTGTACTCGTGCGAGTCTTCTCTTACCTTTAGGCATTAATGTATTATTTTGTCAACGTCTTCCCAAATGTTCCTATATAGAAACGGCTTTTCTCATTGTCGTAACGGTGTCGACGGTCAATTTATTAACTTCGGTCATAAACGACGCACCGACATTACCCGAGCAAGATGACATTTCTCTGGAGCCACAGTGGAGCGACAATAATCACATAATTTTAAATAATAGACAATGTATCTGTTTCGGACTTTTTATAATCTGGTTTGCGAGTTTGACAATCAATTTGGGTCCAACTTTTCTCAGTGGTACATTATGGAGTGCGCAAGATCCTGACGCCTGTCCCATGGTTTCCGGTTCTGTCAGGCATTACGTATTAAACGTATTGTGGGTCACTGTAAATGTGCTCTGCATAGTTCTCACTGGTATTCATCTTCGTAAACTACACAAAGACCTAAAAGGTTCTAACTTAGACGCCTTGAGAGTTTCGGGTTTGATGGCTACCATGATATCTGTTCACCAAGATCGAGAATACTGTGATTCTCAACCAGTCGGAGGGTATATCGAACGACTCGAACAGGAAGGAATAAGGAGAGTTAAGATGTTCGTCGTGATTTTAGTGGCATATCTGTTGTTCTGGGGCCCTCTTTTTATCGTAATGTTGTTCCAACCTAACATAGATAGCAAATCTTCTTCGTACGAAATAGCCCTTCATGTAGCATTTGTGCACGCTTTTGTCAATCCAACTCTATTATTGGTGCTACATAAAAACTTGAGACAAGCCGCTGCCGAATTGGTTTGCTGTCATTGTTGGGTCCCGTCAGATTTTGGAACTCTGCCTTACGAAATTGAGCCAAACGAAATTAATCGGAATTATATGTGAGTATGTGAACTTTTTCATTTTCTTAAACATACAATATTATGTAAGTATATGTTTTAAATATTTATTTAAAGCAGTAGCCTCTCTCTACGATTTCTCATTTAATTTTGACAATGAATTTTATTCTTACTTGCGTTAAACTTTCTATTTGATAGCCTATGATTAAATTACTCGAGCAATTAAAAAAATAAAGAAAGGAGAAAGAAATTGTTAAAGCTGAACGTATCGATTTCTGCATGTTACCTTTTCATTATGTTGTAATAAAGATCCACATTTAACTTTTATGGTAGATTTCGAAAATGGGTGACTTTCAGAATGTAGATTCGGTAGTTTTTACGTTTATTGATGCAGACAAAGAATTATTCTAAATCATAAAATTTACTGTAATAGATAAAAAGTCGAAAAGAACACTCGTAATGTTTTCAATGAAATATATGACATTATTTTTCAAGAAAAAAATATATACAGTATTTGAAAGCTAGAATATATATCGTTGATTGATAATATAATAAAAATAAATTTTTAACAAGTTCACTTTATATATAAAAACCAGAGAGATAAACATGGTACTGCATGTACTGTACCATAAAAACTTGAAAATTCGCTTTCTGTATCTTCAAGGTCTCGAAGTTTAGAAAGCATTAACGTAATTATGTTAGGATTTTCGTTCGGGGAGAAATTCAATGGTTTGAAATCAATAAAAATAAATAGTCTAAGTCCAACAGTTGTGTTAAATATTTAAGTTTCATCCCTCGAAGGTAAGAAGACTTAAGTCTCTAGACTAACGCAATTTTCTTGTTGTTTTAACTCGTCAACATCTGAGTTTACTTAGAAACATTCGAGAGAATTTAATAGTACTTTTATATCCAAATTTATGTTTTAGATAATTTATGTTTACTCGAAATCAATAGAAAATTGTTCAAATGTTTGCATTTGCTTAAAAGCGAGTGCACTTAAAAGATCTGCATTATGTTCATTAACAGAATTTGGAAACTTTAGTTTCTTCAGAATAAACGTCGATAATAAATCTTTCAAATTAAAAAATTCGTTTTGCATTATTAAGGTGGATAACCACCAACCACTTAATCCTTAATAGATGTCAGTTAGTATATTATTATCTGCACATTGTTTAATAATTGAAAATCGATATTTTTTAATCTGAAGACAACAGGAGAGTAACGGTTAGTGAAGAATCTCTATCAGTTTACTTTATAAATTCTATAAATAACAAAATAGCCTTTATCTTTAATAATTGAATCATCTTTTGCAAAAGCGGTTGAAAATTACCAGCAATACTGCTTTGTTAATTGAATCAAGCAAGTAATAACTAAATTATTGATAAGGAAAGAGCAAAAGACAGATAATGAACTGCTTTCCATTCAGTTTATCCTATTCCAATACATTTCATAAGTGTAATTAATAACATAAAACCTGGATTTTTATCAGAAATTAAAATTTTATTCATCATTTTCTATACTTTCTTCCTTATTAACGGCGGCCATTAAATTTCGATATATTCTGTACATCCTGATTATAAATTTACAAATTGAATCTCGGCTCTTCTATTCAGAAGTTAAGAAGAAAAACAAAGAAAAATTATTATTTTTTTTATCTTTTAAGGATTGTAGGAGAGAGAGGATTCAGTTCAGCACTCCGAGAAACAGATGATGAATAGTAGGTAATAAAATGAACGTAAACATAAAATAAAGTACTATTTTTACGATCTTAATGGATCAGAGGTGTATAGTGTGGGCCACGCTACGTTCTAATGAACAACATAAAGCTACAGATTTCATTTTTATAAAACAAATAATTTGTCCATCTCGAGTTGGAAGCTCTGTTAGTTGCAGGGGTTATCATAAAACTATATTTAAACAGTGACAGATTTTGTTTGTAGATAATGAACGTTCAGGTATAATAATTCAGTTGTTTAAATTTTATTTATTTTCTACTCGAGTATTTTCTACTTTATAATTATTACATTTATTTTCTTTGCTATGCATTTAATTTTAATTGGATTTTTTAATATTATTTTAGAATACTGTTAAGATTATTTTATATTTCTCTTCTACAATAATAAGAGAGAGAAAACAGTTTTATTCATTATTCTAGTTTAATAACATACAAAATTCTACTATAATAATCATCATATTCATTTATTAAAATTCAATTAAAATCTTTAATATGAGATTTATTGATATTTTAATAAATTTATTAACATCTTTATTAGGTTTTTTACCTTAGAAATCGATTTTAAAATAATAAATTTTTAAAAAATTGATACTTAGTTTGAATTTTTAAATGCGTTTAAATGTTTTTAGATTGGGAAATTTGATTAACTTTAAATTTAAAGCAAATAAATATATTTCCAGTTTTGTTTACTTTGAAATAAATAAATAACATTCACATATATTAAATACTGGGAAGAATAAATTATTAAGAAAACAAGTTCATGTTTTATCTATTTCTTCACATGAAAATAAATAATAAATTATTACTTTCCTTGTGTAATCTCTCCGTAGGAAATGAAAGATTTCTAATAAATTGCTGTATTTCTTCCTTTTTCACTCTCAATAAGAACTTTTCTAACTTTGAGAAAAGGGATATAACAGTCGAAATCGTCTTACATTTTTAACCGTTTGCAATCGGCCAGATTTTTTCTTCCTCTGGCATTAAAAATAATAGGTAACTAACTTTATCATTTAATTTAATAAAAATCGCTTATTTCGCATTATATAATTATATTATGTATAACTTAAAATCAATTAATTTAATGTAAAAAAGTCATTAAAATTTTTAAAATTTAATATTGTTTTTAGCTTTTATGGCTATGTGATTTAGAATTTATAACATTTATGATTGTAAATAAAAAATATTTAGGCTTATTTTAAATTTATAACTTAAAATTTTTAGAAATTTATGACAGAATTCATTTATATGTTAGTTTACACGAACATATACAGTACATTTTTTAAATTAATTAATTAAAATTAAGCGTAGAACTATAATTTTGGCTTAGAAATAGAAAAAACAGTACAGAGGTTAAAAAATTATACTTTTTTATGTTAAAAACTGCATTCACTAAAATGTAAAATTTGTAAAGACATAAATCAGATGGCATAAAATGTATTTTTAGTATAAAATTTTAGGAAAAAGCTGTACTAATGTAAATGTTATGTGTAATAATTGTCACATATCCAAAAAAACATTATTTGTATTTGGATTTTTATTAACGTATCAGATATTAATTGCTTAATTAAAATATATAATGCTATTATGAGAACAGCAAATTGATTTTTTTAAGTCCTTTTATCTAATTTTAGATTTAGTTTAAAGATTATAATCCATTGCCATTAATTGAATTGGAGTATTTCATGAATATTCATCTCTTTAATTCAATTTTCTCTTTTAATATTTTTATTCAAAGCTCGGAGGAATGTTATATAAATCTGTGTAAAGATGAAATTTAGCAGGGATTGAAATTGTTACGTAATGTCCTTCGTCACTAATGATATATTTATTCATACCGAAGAGTAAGTATATCATTGGTTGGAAATTGTAACACATAACACGATTCAACGTTTAGGAACTGAAAAAAAATGATCAATTTATGCAAACGAAATTATAATTAAAATTTAAATTAATGTAAGTTTATTACTGTAAGTAATTTTAAGATGATGTTAAAGTAAAACGTGAGTTACCTTTGGCCAAATTTTAATCAATTACTTTAATATATTAGCGGTTCCCAAGCAATTAACGTTAGAGTTACTACTGGATAGGATTTGCGCTCTCGATTAAATAACAGGGGGAAGAAAACAGGGGAAAAAAAGAAAATGATATAATCTCCGGTTCTCACTTCTTTTCAGTTATGTTAAGAGAGCGGTTAGAACTGGGAATGCGAGTAAATAAATTCGATCTAACCGAACACGGTACGACTAGCAATCCTATCTAGAACGAAAACAAGCTTCGGAACCACTAAAAGCGAATACACAATGCGATATTATATTTCCTAACCTGACTTTTTTCCTTCAGGGAGACGACCTTATGACGTGACAACAAAAGTATCAAAGTTAAAAATTAGTATAATACCATAAATCCCGTCCCTAGAAAAAGTACATAAGAGAGGGGAAAAAAATGATTAAACAAAATATTAAGTCAAAGGAGGAAAAAAATAAAATAACTTCAGAAAAAGCTTCTTTCGTGTTGAATTCCCAGCACGCTAAGCTTCACAATCAACTCACGAAGATACAAGTTATTTCAGGAATTGAATTATCAGTGTCGAATTGAAAGGTTTCCAAAATAAATTTCTATGAAGTTTGTAAAATAAACGGTAATGAAAGTTCTCATCTTTAGGGAATTTTTTTCGTTTACACATCCTGACAGTCGAAATTTTATCTTCTCATCTTGAATGTCTTCTACGACTACCCTATCTGTCTCTCTCTTTCTCTAATATAGGATTCGAGAGTTTTAAAAAAAAATCTGATATGTGTTTAAACTCCATTTAATTGGTTAAAGCTTTTGTAATTCAAGAAACGGGTAAACAATAATTCGCATGGCTTAACGGTATTATCATCTTAACTCGGTAGATGTTGTTTAACGACTCGTTTTATCACCAAGAATGATAAATCCACAAAGCTCTGCCTATATAAAAGAGAAATATGTGTATGAAATATTTACGGAATTTTTTTTTCTTCTATATTATGTAAATAATTGTCTGATGTCACGAAGTGTTTTATGATTTGTCACACAGTTTTTCTGATAAAAAGAATTTTATTCCTGATCCATATTGGAAGAAATGTTTTAAGATATAATTTAACTTTACAATGTTTATTTTAAGAATCTGCACAGGAATTTTTAATAAAAAGTGTTTTTCTGATGTTTGAACTTTTGCCTGGTTATTAGTGATAATGATGATATATCTTATTAATTAACTTTGTGAAATCGTTTCGGTAGAAGGCGAAAATGAACATAAAAATGATCTCATCCAATTAAGAAGTTAACAAGCTTGATTAACACTTCTAAACAAACTGTTCGTTACTGAAAGGTTTTACGTCGTTATTAATAATTATACAAATTTAGAACCATGAAAAAAAATGGTCAGGGAGTGATTTTATGCAAATTAACTCTCGAAAATGAAATGAAATATTGTTACGGAGTATCTCTTTTTCTAATTAAGGGTTCGTTGATCTCTGCGTGTTCGACATTATTTTTAAGTAGGGAAAAAATTATCAAAAAATTGTCGGATGTTGGCCGATTGAATAATTTGCAGTTTTAATGAATTATTAATTCCTTCTTCGATAAAAATTTTCTAAAGTTTTGAAGGATAATAACAAGCAAGGTGAAGAATTAGCGGCATGACTTATCTGCTGCAAAATTTGCATTACAGATTAATTAGTATGATACCATAAAGAGATCTTCTTTGTTTCATTATCTCTTAAAAGAAGCCGTAAAATACTTCATTCTTATAATATTCCTTTCGAAAATACGGAAAAATTTCCAACATAAAACTAAAATATGATGCACGTTATTTTTTAAACAGCACTTTAACCTTCGAATCTTCGAAAGTTTTTATTTTCGTTAAACTCAATTAAATTTACTCTACTTAACTATTTGAAAATTATTTTTTGATTGCTTAATACGAGTAAGAACGAAATTAAATTTATGTATATTCGAATATAAATTACTTTTTAAGATAGAAACTTTAATTGCATATGGATTAAAATTCGTTTAGAATCAAAAGATCATATTGAAAGTTTGTTTTTTCTTTCATCAATTTTATTCCAGTCGGAAATGAAATTCCTGTTCTTGAAATTTCCGTCAATATAAAGTAAGCTTGTTAATGAAAAGATATCTAGAATCAAGCTAAGACCAGTTTGTTTTCGAGATGAAAGGTGAATTTTTTTTTCTAATCTTGTAAAGTAATTTTATTTTTGTTCTCAAAAAAACTAGTTTACTTAATTTTTGTAAACTGAAATCTAAATTCATGAATATCTTGTTTAATTTTGATATAAATTACTGTAATTATTAGGATTAAAATGGCAAAAAAAAAGTGTAAATTTAAAGCATTTTCTAATCAAATTTCATATTTCGAATCTCTTATATAGTGCATGATTTTGATTTGTTACGGCTTTAAGCTATATTTAAAGTAAAAGCTTTAACATGGTATAGTCTATATAAGAGACCCATTAACATAACAATGGACAATTCATGTTTTTCTTACTTTGACGCCCTAAATTGCAGCATGTTTAGCTTATGCATAAATCCTGTCTTGCTTTTATAGCATATTTTCAAATTAAGATAGTAAATTTTACTAAAAAATTCAAAAATACCACTGTATTAATCACTTAATTATATTTTTAATACAGTATTAAAAAATATAAGATTTTTTAAATTTTATTAATTGCTAAAAAAATAATTTCTTTATTATACACGCAAGAGTAATTTTATAATTTTAATTGATATAAATTATCTAATTATAATGGTAACTGTGTTTACTTTACGCTTAATTATAACGGTGTATCTATAAAGCTATCGAGTGAATGAAACCTTTAGATGACGAAGGTAGCCTATATATTTTAATATATTAAGTTATTCCTTTTAAAAAAAAGATAGGATTTATTCCTTTAAATTTGGTAATATTTTAAAATATTGTTTCTTATCTGTTTTTTTATCCTCTTCTCCTTCCCCTTTTCTTTAACCAAGTTAGGAAGTTATTCCCAGAGGCAACTTTTGGTAAGAATTTTTTCTGTAATTGGTATGTCATTGAGACTGAATCTAATGCCATCCCATTATTTTTATTACTCTGGAAGCTAACGTTAACAGGTGAACTGCAATAAAATCAAATAAGAACATGATACGTTTCCGCCAAAATATTTTAACGATTTTTTCTTCTTAGCTTTTTAAACATGAAAATCAAAAAAAAAAAATTGCAATTTGTTAATCAAAC